CCCTACTGGCTTCCGGCTCCCCCCCCCCTGTCTCCCCCCCCCCGGTCCAAAGCCCAGGGGCCCCCTGGTGGCCAACCAGCCTCTCTGCGCCCTGCTCGGAGTCGGAACCCTGTCCAGCGTCCTCCACATTTTCCAGAGCTGACTCATAGGGCCCCTCGCTGTCGGAGTCTGGTGGCAGCTCCAACAGCTCCTGCTGGGCCACAACAGTTACCAATTGTCCATATTTTGGGGTTCTTTAAACTAGGAGTGCTGAAACAAGATTTTGGGCTACTTAAAATAATACATGATTTTGTGTAATTCCACCTATTCTCTATATCATTTATTGAGGGTTATGTTGAAGAAGAAATAAATATTACTAAAACTCTCAGTGTTTGTTTGCAATCTTCAATTAATTGAAATGATGCTGTAAGCACAATTTTTAAACCAAGGTACTTCAAATCCATTAATTTAAAGAATAGCTATAAAATCTGAGACACATGGAATTGAAATTCCAAAGATCTTCAGATCAGTTGCATTTTCAAAGATGTGGCCACTGCAGCACTGTCAAGCTGTGGTCATATGATCGTGATGTTCACTGCTCCCTGCAATCTTCTTACAAGTAAAGTCAATGGGGAATCCAACAGGAAATTGGAAGTCGGTCCTGTTCCTGCTCTTTTGCCCATCTATGGTTATTCTCTAACCATATTTATTTCTCTTGAGATAAATAAATATTGGCAAATATTGACCCAATAAGTCACAGGTTGTCTGGTATCAAATAAAACAATAACAATTATAAAACAAATGAAACATCCTACTTTTCAATTTGAATAATGACATTGCTTAGTTTAGCATAATTCAGGGATTCTAAAAGCTGGAGGTGTCACAAAATTATGGGCTGTGAGAAATTTGAGGAAGGTTGCAAATAAATAAATGCACAAAGAACTCATTGCTGTTCTGCCTGGACAAGACAGCTGTTATGTTAGAGGAAAGTCAGGGGCATGGTATGATAGGGCACCAGTTTTCTCTGCTCATGTGCATTTGTACAGGCAAGAGCCCATCCATAAATTGCAAAATCATCATTACTATCATCATTTAACATTCAACACTTTAAAGAGAAATGGATTGTCACACGCAAACTCAACAATTAAAGCTTGTACACAGCTACTAAGTCTTTAGCTGTCTTGTTAAGCATGAAAAACATAACCTTTGTCATCTATAATTAGGTCTTCCTCAAATTCATGGAACTGAAAACATATCATATGAGATGAATACTGAGCACAGTAACTTTACAATTATGCCTTCACCTATGTTCATAAGGATTCACTATATTGATTTTTCAGTGCAGTATTATATACATTTTATAGCCTGCTTATGAATGTCAGATAGGTTTAGGTTTCCTTCCAGAGGAAAGTATGATTTTATAAAAATATACTATTTGCCTCAGTGAGACCCAACAAAATAAAATATTAACACATCAAGAATTCTGGACAACCCAACAATCACTGTTTATATGCAAAATATTACCAAATATACAGTAGGGTATATCAATATATATGTAAAATACATTGAGCACACACTGAAATAGAAATTCTGACTTCTCCATTAAGAAATTGAGCCAGGAAGCTTAAAATATTGTTGTTCCTCTCGCTTTACAGTCAGCATAATAATAATAGCTACTCTCTTTTTAACTAACATCACTTCATTGGTTATATGTTGCCAAATATACACTGCAGGGATTTCTGTACTACAAGTTATTTTAGATCAGACACTTTTTTCAGTGTTTTTAATTTCCCCCTTCCAAAAACAATGAATATCAAACTGGGATGCTGAAAAGTACATCTGTGAAAACAAATCTCTGTTTTGCTAGATCAGTAATAACAGACATATCTGGAATTTTTCCAAAAAGCATACGACTCCTATTAATTATTGTGGCATTGCAGTATTACAGAAAGGTTCCAATTTCTTTATGCTAATAGAAAAAACATTTTAAAATGATATTTCAGAATGCACATTATATGTGATTAGATGAGACATGTAAATAAATATTAAATTTTATGTATTATGTTAACATTGTAACAAGAAATAAGAGAAGACAGGGGGGGGGAATCAGAATACCATTGCAATCAATGTTTCATTTACCATAAAAGTCAGTTGTTGGGTGCAATAATTTTTAATACATTTTTCATTTTCATTTTCATTTTATACAATCACTTATATACTGTGCATAANAAACACTGGTGTAGATGATACCAAACTTAAAATTGCCAACTGTTTCAGTAAAATGGGGGAGCACCCACCCTCAAAGAAGATTTGCATGCCCCCTTTTAGTCTATCGTCCCTTCCTTTAGAGTTACTCATTTTCATTGGAGGCAGAGGAATTTAGGATGGGGAGCAATGATGAGGCCTCCGGGGACCACAAAGCACACACAGAATCTCTGTCAACCTTCACAAGCTTTATTATTCACAATTTCTTCAGCATCACACGAGGACATGGGCATACAGAGACATATTCACTTGCCCTGCCACACGCAGGCCCAGGGATTGCCCAAGAATTGGGGAAGAGAAGAGCATCTTCTGTAGATGACAGTTATGCCCATGGATTGGGGTCTTCAACAGCTGGTCCTCTTCTCCTTTGCCCAAAACATCCCGTACATATTCCTTCTCACGTCAGCTTTTCAGCTGAAAATTGCCGGGTCTATTGTGACTCACTGAATGGCAATTAACGGTTAACTTCCTTATCACTGGTTGTTGTTTGGTGATTCTTGTCTGATCTCGCTGGATGTTTCCTCCGTGACCTTCTCCGAGGCAATTCTGGCCTTTGGGAGTTAGGACCAGACCTGGTCCAGAGGCTTCCTGCTGTGTTGGATCTGTCCAGTTCCTTCTGAGAGAGTCTTTCACAACCTCCGCACAAGCAGGACTTGAGCTCAAATACCTGTATCCACTCTGAACATCTTCCCTCAACTTCTATTCCTCTCTTTCTCCCAGCATCTTATTTCTGGCATAAGCAATCAAGGTGAAGGGAGAAAATTAAGTTCTAAATCTGGTGGTTATACATTTTGGCAGCCTTGGCAGCCAAAGCAGTTGGGCTAACTATTACCTGCATGCTTTAGGGAACCTCTAGTGAAGAGCCACTAGTTCACCTTGTAGCTGAGGTGGTCTACAAACACTGGATCCCCAACCGAGCAGATAAGAGGAGAAGAGGAGGAGGAGATTCCGGGACCTGGTTCAGAGAGTTCTAGATTTGACCATGGCCTTGTTTGGGAGGAGCACTCGAATCACCTGTTCCCGAATCTCCTTGGTCCTCACTCCGTAGACAATGGGATTCAACATGGGAGGAACAAGAAGGTAGAAGTTGGCCAGCAGGATGTGAACATGGGGAGCCACGTTGTGGCCAAAGCGGTGAGTGAGAAAGGAGAAGAGGGCTGGGCTGTACGAGATTGTGATGACACAGAGGTGGGAGCCACACGTGCCAAAAGCTTTCAGCCTGGCCTCATTGGAGGAAAGGCGCAGCACTGCACGGACAATGAAGAAGTAGGAGAGGCCAATGCCTAGAAGGTCCCCCCCAATGACCCAGCAACCAGACAGATCAAAAGAGGGGAGAAGGGGA